TGATGATGATGATGATGATGATGATGATGATGATGCGATAGTAGCGATGATGATAAAGATTATGTTGGAAGATAATGTGAGCAGATGTCCTTTGGAAGGAACCCTTCGCAGGTGCTTTCGGGAAAAGTATTAATTTTAAAAAAGGAAAAAAGAGAGAGAGAGAGAGATGCACGTAAGTTAAGTATATCTACATATGTCCACCAATAAATATACCAATAAACACCGTATCCACACACGAGTGTTATACTGTTGGTTCCAAACGGGAAGACTCCAGCGGTGGCTGAAATTGGCTCCGATCCCACTCCTTCCCACAGACTCGTCCGGAAAAGGGGATGGGACTTGGGATGGCTCAAACCGCTCAGGCGAAAAACATCGAAAAACCATGGGTGTCCCGGCAGCTGAGACCGCAGCCTTTGAGATTTCTTTGTCAATGCTTTGGGAAGAAAGCGAGCTTGATGCAGCTTGAGGTATGAAAGTCGGCAGCTTGTTCTGGCAAATATCATTGGGCAAAACGGCATCCTCCAAAGCCGACTGGTGGTGCTGGTGCGAACGTAGCCTCCACTTCCATGTTCACCACTACGTGTTCACTTCCACGGATTTAGCTGCTAGCTGCTTCCGTGGCACCACGTCCAGAGGAAACTCGCCGTCTCCGACTTTCACTTGCATGCCCTTGGTGAACTTCCGCGCAAACATGAAGCCCTCCTGCGGGTCGCAGGCGGAGGGCTTCACATGGTGGCGGTGGGTTGTTCAGCCCGGAGCCCCCAAACCCCGGTAGGTTGACCTCCTTAGTAGTCAGCGAAGCCAAGCTGGAACTCACGGCACAACACCGGAGCTCCGCTGTTACTAAGACCCACCTTCAGCAAACGGAAGGTGCATCCAATGGTTTTGGTCTTGGGATTAGCTGCGCAAAGTTGCAAAGGCCCTCCAAACGGCCTCCAACTGCCTTCCGTGTTGACTTTCGAGGTGTAGATCAGAGATCCTCGTTGTCATGCCTTATGGGTCCAGGTTCGTGTTGGTTGGCCACCACCAGTTGAATATGTTTATAAAAGACCCATATACCAACATGACCACCGCCGCTACTCCCACTCATGCTGTGTGATCTTCTAGCGGTGCGTCTGCAACAGCCGCCTGATTGACCCCATTGGCAGTTGGCCTCCTTTCATCTTGGATGAGATCAGAACAAGTGCGCCCATGTCGGAGGGACGAGTCCATCCAGGGAGCCCCTTTGCGCCCTCTTCCGACCTTCGCAGAACCATGACGACCTTTCCTTTTTGCCCTGCTCAGAACACATCCCAAGTCCTGGACTAACTTGTAGAGATACTCAATGGTGATGGACTGAAAGAAGGTTGGATAGCCATTGAGTTCCCGCTTCCTCGAATCAGCTCACCGAGGCACAGAATCGACGTTGGGTTGGGGGTTCCGGGGGGAGCGACTTCCAAGGTAGGCTCTGGATGAATAAAACCCACCCCATTTGGAGAAAACCCGTTCATATGGTGGTTTTGTTGCGTTTTGTTCAAATCAAGAGTCTAGAGTCTAGATGTCTACATTACATGAGATTTGGGGGTTCCTCAAAACAAGGGCCGCATGGCCAGTGAGCTTGCAGCAGAGACGCCAAGACCCTTAATTGGATTCAAATCTGCAGTACCTTCTTTTCTTCTCTCCCATGGCCCCAGATCCCGCAAATTTGGACAAGCCCTCTTGGCCGTTTTCCTTGTGTGGGAGTTTCGCACATCACAAAAGGGCTTCAAACAGGGAACAGAACCTGCGCCCGAAGCGCCCCAAGTCGGCACCTCTCCCCGGCAGAACCTACCCGTCCGCACACCGTCCGAAACGCCGATCTTCAAAGAAAACAGACAAAAAGAGATCTGCTCATGGATCACTTAGCAGCAGAGCCGACTTGAAGAAGTTGAACTCCCGATCCGTGAGCATTCGCAGCCTGCAGCGACTGTGAGCTGCGAACCCCCAAACAAGCCTCCGCCTCACGGCATTCCTCCGCCTCCGCCAGTTGAACTATATACAAATATATATATATACATATGTAAGCATCATGAACTAACTACCAGGCATGTCAAGAGATTGTCTTGCCCCCGAATATCCAGCTGACCGTGACCAAAAGAAAAATCCCCCCCCCGGTCGGCCAAGGCTGATCCGCACAAGCAACTGGCCGTGCTTTAGGACTGCATCCAAGTCCTGCACTGCTACAGGAGGCATGTAGACCTGTGGGCCTCTTGAAGTCAATCCTGGAGTTGCCAAACAACAACTCCTCCTCTGCTGAATAGAAAGCCCACTAGAGCAATAGCATGCAATCTTGGGTTGAATGGTGAATCAGTTCATTCTGGGCATCCAGAGCTATGAATCCGTGGAATATGAATCCACCCTTCTGATGATGAGGGAGGACGGGTGAGCAGCTTCGAAAACCCCTATTACTTTTTTGTATAATCCAGGTTTGCTTTCGCAAAGCTTTCGCGGAGCTTTCGCGGCCTGCATTCTGGCTTTCGCGGAAGGTGTGGTGTTATGTGGGGCTTTCGCGGCGGCTTTCGCGGCGATTCGTTTTCGATTGGTAAATTCGATTGGGATATTGTACAATAAAGTGATTGATCTATATAAGTTATCCGATATAAGTGTCCTTAGGGTGGTCAAAACTGAACAAATTTCTTTCGCGGGGCTTTCGCGAACCTTTCGCGACCTGCGTTTTGGCTTTCGCGAAAGAATGTGAGATTACAGTTTGCACACTTTTCATCATAGAGGTTTTTGAAGCTGCTCGGGTGAACTCTTCGGCCCTGATCCAGATGCCATCCATCCCAACCCCCCTCACGCATCCACAGTACTCCACCACACATCCCAACGCGTCCTTGGCGATGTTCTCGGAGTACTCCAGACGCGTGTCGGTGAAGCAATGCCGCCAGTGGACATAGGTCAAGCACTGCTGCTCGACGCCCATCCGCGTCAGATCCGCCCAGGTATTTCCAGTGCTCCTGCCCTGCCGAGGGGAGTTCAAGAGTCGTGGGCGCGCCATGGTCGAAGGACTCACTTTCCGAGGGCGGTCCGTCTGCCATCCTTCTTCCAACAGCTACTGTTCGAGGAGGTACTTTTTTGCGGTAGTCCGGTAGTCTTGGGGATGGAAGCCCACCTCATCACGTCTTGTCCACCCCATTCAAAGAAAGAAGACTGAAAACGCTCGGCCCATTGGCGCCCGGATCCGCTCCCTCCGACCCGTTCCGTGGGGAAAAGGAGCCACTCAGCCCGCATCGACCCCAACAGCTTCGCTGGAGGCCCAACAAGGAGAAAGAACACACACCATGGCCCGCCATGGCCCGCCATGGCCCGCCGGCCTTGTGCTCCAAGTCATAGAGCAAGGCGTCGACGGGAGCCGACTCGTCGCTGCAGCCCTCGGCCATGTGCAGCAAATCGGGCGCCGCCTGGCCAGCCAAGGGCAGAACCGTCCACAGGGCGGCTGGTCGCCGCGGATCCGCGGCTGGAGCGTGGCTGTGGGTGGGGCGGCGCCATTGGCTTTAGGAGTGGAACTTTGGAAATAAAATGAAATAAATAGAAAGTGGTCTTAACTACAAATCGACAGGCTGACCACGGCAGTGTTGAACCTCATCTGAACCTCCAGCCGTTCACTCTCCCCACTTACGGTACTCTAACGTTTGACCGTTGGTCAATACAACCCCCATCAACCCTCCCTAACCTGGATTTGTTCGTTTCTTTTTCCCGATCAATTCCGTCCACATGACCAAGCTCTCCCCATCCATTCCGCCTTCAACCAGCTCTTATGCCAGATCTCCAACGCCTTCTCCGCGCGGCGCACCACGATCTCCGCATGGTGCCGGGCGAGCACCACCCACCTGAGAGGTGCGGGTTCCGAGGAGTGGAGGGAAAGAATTAGGGCGAACGAGATAAGGGAAGCTAAGGAAACGAATGTAGACTCTTGATTAGTAAACCCACCCCATTTGCATGCACGAACGAGTTCGGTGTGACACGCACACGTGGCAGAAATAGGAGGGATTTATGATTCATCAAAGAGTCTACATTAAGGGAACATAAGGGAACGGGGTTTCAAACGGGGTTAGTCAGGTCCATTCTTCTCCCACGAGGGTGGGCCGGGTCAGAACCAACGCGGAAGCTTTTGGAGGGTTGGTTTCATGGCCATGGCCGCAGTGACGCTCGGTACGCAGTGACGCTCGGTACGCAGTACACCGAGCGTCCACCCCGTGGGTGTGGAAGCCTTCCGGTCGTGAATCCCAACATGATCCACGGAATGCAGCTGTTCGAGAATGGTAAGGGGGGCCCTTTGAAAACTGACAGGTGCAGTCTACATGTTGACTAGAATTTGAGCACCACAAAAAGGATCCATCACGGCTGAGTTCCACCCCCACCTGGCAGCAGGCTAGAATCCATGTGATCCCAGCGGCTGGTGGTGCTTCAACGTCCGCGGGTTGTAAGCTCTCCAGAAGTCCCGAAACACGCAACTCCTCAAGAACTCGTTCCGGATGGTCTCCTGATGGCCGACGTGGTCGGAGGGTCCCAGGTGAGCACGACACCTCATGTGGACGGATGTCCAGAATGGATCTACATGTTCGACATGCTGGATGAGGCTAGGAGGCTTGATTGAAATCAACAAGTTTACATCAAATGACCCAGGCCGTTGAACATGGTTGACCGGTGGTCGTCCAAAATCCTCAGCACATAGTAAAACCATGGTTCTTTGGCGCTCGGTCCATTAAGACAACAATAACAACAGCTCTTGGAACTCCAGGGTGGTGTCCCCAGAATTTGACCACATCAGTTAACACCAATTGGCCCTCCACAGCCACTCCTTGCCACGAACTCCACAATCCCAACCCCGCTCCTGGGTGGCTTGCTTGGCAATGGCTGGCTCCGCAAAGCAGAACTTGCTGGTGGAAGGCGACACCTTGATCAGTTGCTGGTACACATAGTCGAAACCTGGTCAAAAGAATCAGCGAGGCACCATCAACACATTGTCGAACCAGCACAGATCGAAAGAAGTTGCTTTGAACGCTTGGGTCATCTTGGGTCACTGACATACCTTCGGCAACCGGCGGTCGAAATCATGAAAAAAACATTGGCCAACCAACCGACCAGCCAGCCAGCCAAGCAAGCAAGCAAGCAAGCAAGCCAAGCAAGCAAGCAAGCAAGGGACGATTGGTTTGTCAGCCTGCCTGTCAGGACATAGAAAAAAATGCATGCAAATTAAAAATATAGGGAAGACTCCGTGCGTAAGTGCAACAGGTATCTTTCGCAGCGACCATCTAAGCCGCACAATCTTAGGAGTCAAAGCATCGGTTCTAGAAATCAATGGACAAGCATGTTCATGACTAATAACCATGCAACTAAGTTCACTTCACATGATCCACCTGCAGTTCCAACCTGGTAACATGTCACACTGTGCATGCAGGTATGGCAGGTATGCATATCCGTCTTGCCCCGGGCATCGGGTCCTGAAAATGACCCATCAAGCCATGCACGCCAAGGAACTCTTCAAAGGTATTGAGTTGTGCGACACAAAGACGAATTGCCTTAGACCCACGAGATTCGGCGACGGGACCCGGAGGACGATCAATTTCTCGTTTCGGAATGGCTCACGCGCAGCGCCTACGCCCAGCGTTATAGTTTGGTAAAAACATGGATGGCCACATAAATTCGCTCTGTCATGAGCTTTGCAAGACTACAAATGGTGTGGATTGACCACTTACACCATGAGTCTCCAAAAGGTAGTGCGTACTCCTCCTTCCTCCCTCTTTTTCTTACTGCCCACCTTCCTCCACCCAGCCAGCCAGCCAGCCTTCCTGCCTTCCTGCCTTCCTTCCTTCCTTCCCTCTGTAGCTCCGCTATCACGTCAAATCCGCCCGCACCGAAAGTGCTGAGGCGTTGTCTCAAATCGCGTAAGCCGCTAGAATTGCCAGATAGCATAGCTTAAGTAAGCTTGGAAGGAACTATTTTTGCTCTAGAATGTGTGTTTTTTGATGATTTTTATGTGTTTTTAAACCGGCACAAAATGAGCAAGTCATTGGCGATGTCGGTTATGCTGCCCTAGGAAGACTGCATTATTGACATCGTGTGTGTGTGTGTTTTGCTTCATGTTTCTTTCAGTAGGGGGACGGGACACCACTCGCATTTCCCGTCCAACGAAGAGGGTGCCAGTAGAGCTGCCAAGATGGTGAGACTCGGACTGTGTGGTATAGCCCTATTCGCCCTATTTCCGTGCGGGCGGCTTCGACCGCGAAGCGCTGTGAATAAAGTACAAAGATGTAATTGCAGCCTAGCGGCTAGGCCAGTGTTTGTGGGGGCCCTGCAGCTACTGCTGCAAACTGTTGCAGGGAAAACTTCTCTCTGTAGGCTTGATCCACTGTCCCAGGCTCACGGCCTAGTGGCACATACACCAGTGTAGCGTGAGAGCAGTGCGCGTTCTACCTCTCTTCATGTGTCTCTCTCTCTTTCTCCCTCTTCCTCCCTCTCTCTTCCTCCACGTCCAAAAACGTCCGTCCACGCCGCACCGCCCGCGTGGGGCCAAGGTGCTGGTTGTGGGGATCCTGCAGGGCTCGCGCCAGCAACGACACCTCCGCACCGAAGAGCGCGCACCAGCGGGTCTCGACCTGCATCGCTCGCGACATCGGCCGCGAGGTCCTGGAAGGTGGGGAATTCGAACAAAACGACGGGTAGGTGAAAAAAGAACAAAACGTTCTACATCACTTCAAAACTTGCCCCATCAGCCTCAACTAACTACATCTATATACCAACCGCTACCGGAGCAACAATCCTCGAAGTCACCCCTGCCCGCATTCCATCCTCTTCCGCCCTTCATCTCTCCCACTTTCGGGTGGGACACCTGTGGAAGCTCCACAGCACCCCAGCGGCTCAGTGGAAGGGTGGCCGACGACCAAGGTGCCCAGCCATACCCTGCGACGTGACCGCCGGAGGAAGTGATGGAACCCGGTCTATGCCTATGCCTATGCGCGTGTTCAAAACGCCTTCACTCCTTGAAAGCAATCATGGATACGTGGGTGGCGTGGTTGGGAAAGCGACCGTCCTCCAGAAACGGGGGTGTGTTGTGAGAGGGTGCACCAAAAGGTCGAGGACTCCAGGCCCTGTCGTGAGGGCCCTTTGCAGGCCGGCTTTGTGTTCGACCTCTGGAGAGGCTGGGCGTTTGCGGTCCGGGATGAAGCTGAGAACCTTGAAAGGTGCCCTGGGAAGAGCGTCGACCCTCCAAAACATCTGCCCGATGCGAACATTCGGGTGAACTTCTCACTGCTCCAGAAACGCATCCTCCGGACACCATTCATGGGGGTCATCGGATCAGCTCTTATTGACCATCCAGGAAAACCAAATAGATGGGAGTTTAACTTCAAGTCAGGCAAAGCATCGCCTCCCAGCCTCCCAGCTCACCTAGCATGACACCATTTTTCAATTCTCATAAAATGCAACACCGGACCGTACTGTGTGCGATATATATCTGCACTTTATGAGAATTGAAAAAGAAATATATATATATATACAAAGAAAGAAAGAGAGAAAGAAAGAAAGAAAGAAAGAAAGACAAAGAGAGAGAGAGAGAGAGATGAATATGTTCAACAGTTGTGTGACATGACCCCCACACACACCCGAATTCCTCCCATGATTCCCTCAAACCACTGAACACCGCACCAGACCACACCCTCTCCGAACCAAATTGAAAAAAACCTGAGAGGACTCAGGCCTTCTCCTAAACGCCCAGACCGACCCGTTGATTTTCTTTGGGCGCTTTGAACCCCCCACCAAAAAATAAAAAACAGCTGCAAGCCGCGCGGGCCAATGGATGAGAAGAGACGGCGCGCACGGCCGATGAACCAATTTCGACTCGGACCTGAGAAGCGCTCGGCGAAGCGGAAGCTGCTCTTCTGCCGACTGTGCGCACGGTGCACATAGATGGAATAAGCGCCTGACCTTGGAGGTCAGGCGAGACCCCACACAGGGGTTCGACGAGGATGCGGTGAAGAATTTGCAACATAGCTCACTGATGCGAATGTACAGTTTCATGTTATGTTCTCACTGGACCGCAGCCCTTTGATTGTCGGGAAAAAGTTCGCATGGTAGCGGAGCAAGGATAAGGATAACCCCCTTTGAGCTCCAGAGAAAAGCCCCTAGGTCACTGAGATCCCGGGAGCGTTTCGAGCCATAGATTGGGGCCTTTGGAACCCAAATAGCCAGACTGGCGACAAACTGTTGTGAGCTGCACTCTGCACATTGCGTCAGAAGGGCATTCTTGCGCATAAACTATGGGTGAGACAAGAGAACTCCATGTATATAGCAGTAGCAAAGGGTACTCAAGCAACAGCATTAGCAGCAGAGGCAGTAAAGAAAGTGATGAGGCTTATATGAAGGACTTGAAGGAGACTCATGACAAGCCAAGTGAGAGCCTTGACATGGACTGCGCAACTACAGCTGAGAAAACCAAGTGAATCAAGCTCTATGGATTGTTAGCTTCGATGAGGAGCAGAGCACTGCAATTGGTTGAAGCTGTAGAGGACTCCAATGGATGTGATGCCTGGAGGAGTTTGAACAAAGCTTTGGTACATGGCCAGCATGCTCGATTCACAGTGCCCTACAACCTCAGCTTCTTAAGCCTGAAGAAGTATTTGATGTGACGGTCAAAACAGGGACAACAATTCGAGAAGAGTTGAGATCTGCTATTCTTTTGAGATGTGTGGGTGGACCGCTCAAGTCATACTTGAATTTGACAATTGGTGACAATGCTCAACTTTGAGGGAACAAATGTTGCAATGGGATCGTTCTCAGCAGAAGTGGGCTACTTCAATGTCAATGGTGGCAAGTAGCAGTACAGACTATCAAGGACCCATGCCTATGGACGTTGATCGAGTTCAAGAGGCCTAAGGAAAGGGGAAGAAATGCAAAAATGATTACCAGAAGGGCAAAGGTAAGGATGCCAAAGGTAAAGGACAGAAAGGAAAAGGAAAACAAAAGGGAAAAGAAGGCGATCAGAAGGGCAAATGAAAAGGCAAAGACCAGAAGGGAAAAGGTGTGGCAACTTGTTACACTTTGTAGGAAGCCAGGACATCTTGCTCGAGACTGTTAGAGCAATGTTCGACAGGTTGCAAGTGATCCAGCCCATTCATCTTCAGGAGGAGCATCAGTGACTACTCATACAGTTGGTCAACAACAACCCAATGTGAGCCAGCAGGGTAGTTCAGCAAAGACCAAACCAGTTGTCAGAAGGATTGGGAACAGTGAGCCAATCATCTTTGACTTGAGAGAAAAGGATGATGAAGTAGAAGATCATAGAATTCGAGTGATTCACTTCTACATCGGAGATGCTGATGATGATGATGATGATGATGACGATGATGATGATGAGCCAGAGAAAGGAGGTTGTGACATGGCTGAAGTTGAGGGTGAAAAGCCCAAGATGAGGAGAGTTGGGGAGGAAAGAGATTTTCTGTGGCCATCATCATCGACAGTGGAGCAGGACCTGTAGCTTTATTCCCTTTGAGTATGGCAGTACGACAGTAGGGAAGGAGAGTTAGGGAGTTTGGCACAAAGACCAAGCTACCAGACAAAGCTTAGGGAGTCGTATCCCCACTGAGACGGTGCATGACTCGATGGACGTCTTCAGTTCTTCCCAAAAGAGAATGGACGTGATCTTCAGTTCCCCAAAGAGAAGGAAGGCATATTTGAACATGGAAGGCTGATGGAACATGGTTGGGGAATTAACCAGAGAGAGCAAATGTGGGGGAATGGTGACTTGAAGGCACCACTCAACTTGCAAAATCGCTGATTGACAAATCAAGGCCGCATTAGAGTCATTCGAGATGAGGATGAAAGCTGCTGTGCAAGTACCTGAAGCTTTGGAAGAGGAATCAGGTTGGAGGTTCAATGAGCGTGGACTGCTAGTTGGAAGCGTATCGACTTCAAGATTTGTTGATCCCACATTCATTCCAGAAGTGGAAGATTCACCAGAGCTGATGAAACCACTTTGGTGAAAGAGGAGGTCAATGGCTAATGCCTGAATATTGCAATCACATGATGAAAAAGGAGGAACTTGATGAGCAAGTCTTTGATGATGATGCAGTCATTCCTTCAATCACAATCTTCAGCTATGAGCCAGCGCCACCAGAAGATATGGGGTTCTTTGCACCAGGATACAAGAAGCTTGAGCAATCGAGGAGATTACCCCTACTCCACCCGAGAAGGAGGTAGAAGACAAGAAAGAAAGGGAAGAAGACCTCGAATGTGAGTTGCAGTTGAGCCCAATGGATGTAGACAAAGTCTTGGTGAATGGAGTAGAGTTGACTTAGGGGTTCTACTTTGGCAGCATTCAGGGCAGCATGTGCATTCCTCGGCATCTCAGGTAGCAGCTCTAAGTTGAAGGTCTACACGAAGATCCGCAATGACAACAAGAAAATGGAACTCGTGAACGCCAAGAGCTTGGTGACTGAAGCAATAGCTCAAGAGTCGAGAGAAGCATTAGGGCAAAGATGCCAGATGAAGCCACTCAGGCGAGACACAGACTGACACATCTACCATACGCCAATTGGTGTATAAGGAATGTATTGAACATCGAGCATGTCCAGATCACCATGAGATAAAAATGGAACCAAGAGAGGAAGTCTCCCTGAAGTGAGCTTTGACTTTTGCTACACTAGAGCAAGAGATTCAGAAACCAAGTCAGCCAGAGCAGTATGTTGGTTAGTTGCAATTGACAGCCAGACTGGATACATTCATGTTGCGCTTTTAGGAAGCAAGAATCAATTTCATCTCATTGTGCAAGAATTGGTTAATTTCAGTCAGTTGTTGGGGTATTCAGCAATTTCCTACAGGAGCCACAATGAACACACAACAAGACAGATCCTAAAGATGCTGATCAATGACTCACTACAAGGTTGAACACTTCAAAGTTGGGGGACCGTTCATTTCTGTCCGAGAACAACAGTTGACAGGGTGAGGAAGCTTGCAGGACGTTTCATTGAAGGCTTGCAGTCGAGGCTTGGTATCAAGAAATGATCAGATCACGCAGTTTGGACTTGGGCAGCAAGACATGCCAGTCGGGCGCTGAATCAATTTCAATCAGGCAAAGGTGCCACTCCATATGAGCTCGTCTATGGAAAGAGTTACAAAGGACTTTTAGCTGACTATGGGCTCATATGGTCACGGACGGCCAGTAGGCAGAAATCTTCCACTTCAAACCAGTAAGCGGATGGTGTTCAAAGTAGTGCCATGATAACAAAATATGTGTTCCCTATCTGCTTACTGCAGTGGTCTCCCCGATGAACATGTCTCAACAACTTTCTGCTTACTACAGTGGTTTGCCATGTGTATATAGAAGTGTATATATATATACACATACATATGAAGAATGTTGACGCGTCCTTGAGCTAAGGTAGGACAAGAAACAACTGCAGTAAGCAGATTCGAATCTGCTTACTGCTGCTGTTTGTCATGTTATCCCAGTGGAACCCTTGATGCCGATAATGCCAATGATGCTGATCATGCGATTTCCTCAAAATTTACTATATATCTTCATTAAAAGCTCTTTAAGATGAATATGTGCACCCGTTTCCATCCGATTCCTTTAATTCTTCCTTAAAATCATCAAAATTATCAATGTTCACAACTTTCCTGAAACAGGTGGAAAATTTCAAAAACTTCTTTAACATCCTTAAGCCATCAAGGAACGCCAGGAAAAAAAGAATTCCCTGCCGTGCGTCCGGAGAGTCGAACGCTCGGAGATGCGGTCCGAAGAGTCGAACGGACTCCCCCCGTTAAGGGAAGAGACACAGAGACAGGGGGAGAGGAGAAAAAGTGAACCAAAAGTAGCTAGTTAATTTTTAATTCTTAGTTATTTTCCTGGTCAGATTCCTTCAGTTCCTGTCTTCCCTTGAGGTTTCAAGAGGTTTGAGGCCATTTCTTGAAATTTAGGATTTTTTTAAAAATTGTGAAACATCAATATTTTCAGATAGTTTGCTGGTCGAATTCTTTTTTTCCTGGCGTTCCTTGATGGCTTAAGGATGTTAAAGAAGTTTTTGAAATTTTCCACCTGTTTCAGGAAAGTTGTGAACATTGATAATTTTGATGATTTTAAGGAAGAATTAAAGGAATCGGATGGAAACGGGTGCACATATTCATCTTAAAGAGCTTTTAATGAAGATATATAGTAAATTTTGAGGAAATCGCATGATCAGCATCATTGGCATTATCGGCATCATGGTAACTCATTCCTGAGGTATTTCATGGAACTAACAAGGTAATAAGAAACAATACCCTCCAAATTGGTGATGATTAGGGGTTCCCTGGGATAGCATGACAAACAACAGCAGTAAGCAGAGTCCAATCTGCTTACTGCCAGTTGTTTCTTGCCCTACCCAAACATAATCCCAATGAAAACACAAGTCCAATGACGGTGGGCACGAATAAGAAAACAGTTGCTTTCAATGCTTTAAATTTGCATTGAGCTGCAGTAAACAGACTCCAATATGCTTATTGGTGTTGTTGATGTTGGAATGGAATACTGTAATCTGAGCAACCGCTGCAGTAAGCAGATTCCAATCTGCTTACTGCTGTTGTTGATGTTGGACCTGAAGAAGGATATGAGAGGGGGGTGCTGGAAAGAAAGTGTATACAGCAGGATGCAATGAACAGGCGGACGCTGGAGCAAAACTATTTCATCTGAACCGTTGGAAGTCACCACATATTTAAATCTTTCCAACGGTTCAGAATCTTGTCCTTCTAAACCGTTGGAATCACTTTTACACACGTATTAAATATATTTATAGATAGATGCATGCAAACTACATAACCAGTTTTCCAACGGTTTAGAATCAGTTGGCTTAATTGTGTGGGGTCCAGCTTGCTTAGCGTTTGGCACCTGCACTTTTCCCATCCCCAAAGAAGGTCAATTGCTGTCTTCCGTACACCGGCCAAAGCTGCTG